CCCCAAAACCCCAAAACCCCAAAACCCCAAAACCCCAAGCAATTAAAAATGAGTGGAATAATAATATTAAAACATTATAAAAGGTAATGCGCACTTAAGTATGGTTTAGAATTTCATGCCTCAGTACGGAGAACCAGACTATTGGGATAAGAGATATTCCAATCAGAAGGAAAAGACTTTCGATTGGCTAGAGAATTGGGCTTCTCTCAAACCTACTGTCGAAAAATTGATAGACAAAGATGCTAGAATTTTAATGTTAGGGTGAGGAAATGCTCTTATTAGTCAAGAAATGTATGACGATGGTTATAAGAATATTGCAAACATTGATATTTCCTCAGTATGCATTGAGAACATGAAAGAAAGAAACTTTGAAAGATCAGAAATGACTTGGGAAGTGATGGATGTCACTGATATTAAATATGACGACCAAACATTCGATCTCGCCATTGACAAATCAACAATTGACGCATTGCTTTGTGGTGATGATTCTTTCCTTAATGTAGCAAAGATGACAAAAGAAGTACAAAGAGTCTTAAAAACAGGAGGATACTATTTTGTAATCTCATATGGACAACCAGATAATAGGAATCATCATTTCCTCCGTCCTCATTTAGACTTCAATTTAGAATATGGAACTGTTTACCCTGTTGACTGAAAGGAAGAAGATAAGATTAATAAAGAGCATTACATCTATACATGCCAAAAAGGACCAAAAGCAGATGAAAATTGTGAAGCTCATTGGGAAGAAGTAGAAACAGAGCTAATTGAAGAAGCTGAGAATAAAATGCAAATACGCGCTGCAGAATTAGATTAAAATTATTATGAGAAAAGTTTAAAGTAAGGAAAATAGCACCACTGCTTTAATTAGTGAAAACTCGAATTTATGCCTACTAATTCAAACTTTTCAAAACTAGTTTTGAAAAAGAATATTCTATGATCGGCAATTTCAATTTGTAGTGTTACTCCAGGGGTTTTGGGGTTTTGGGGTTTTGGGGTTTTGGGGTTTTGGGG